AGGAGGAAAGTTTCTCTTCAAAAAATTCATCCATCAAGTTGATCCTGCCTTTATTTTTTGACTTACTCAGAAAGCTTTGCTTATGCTTATTTACAGAAGAGACCCCTTTCACTGGGGAGGGGAGTGGAATCAACGCCTATTTCTCAACGAAGGCCTAAAAAAAATCTTTTTTTTTTTTTTTTAACAGATTTTTCAACTCATGCTTTTTAGTCACCCCAACAAAGAACATGCAATAGTTTCCTACAAAGTGTTTCTTATGGAGTGTATCTACCTATTTAAAAGCATCTGCAGTCTCAGTATCCTGCTTTTCTGAAGGGTGATTTACATGGTTAACGCTGTGAATTGGGATAAAGTTTGCTTTCATGTCAGGAAAGAGAGTGAAAAAACAATTCACAAAACCTACAGAAAGCTAACAAAAATAATAAAAGTCATGTTCATAGATCTTCTTGTTTGGTATTAAATTAATTTGTTCTAAAGATTATATCCCAAAGAAATCAGAAAAATAGAGTTTTGAATATACTAGCTTACACTATAAAATAAATTACCATTGTTCTATCACACTGAAAATCTGAATGCAATAAAAAAAGCAGCTAATTAACCCATTTATCACAAATACCAAACAGGCCAATGGCTTTTGTAATTATCAAGACAACTCAATTTTTGATTCAGTCTGCAGGCTCATTTGCCCAACTCAATTAGAAATCATCAAAATTACTTACAATACACTGTCTACCAAAGCATGACAAAATTAAGTCTGTTACAACCAATTAATTGAACTTAATAAAGCTTTTAAACTATTTTTGTTTATTAGCATTCCTCTGGGGTTAATGATGTAGTCCTTCTTGGCTAGGAGGAATAATTAATATATTTCTTTAAAGAAAATTAGATTTGCAGTGTGTTAAGGAAGATCAACAAGTCTCCCTAATGGGTAAAGAATAATTAATCTTCAATATCAATACATTAAAACATTAATTTGTGTTCTCTAGTAAAGCCTTCTGTCTGCACACAGTTGTGTGTGTATCTGTGTATATAAATATACATTTATACACACAGACAGTTGTGTGTCAGCTTATAGGAAAGACCCCACATTAATTATGATTGTTGAATTACTTATCAGCAAATATGTACTAATTAAAAAATATATTCATGAGTAAATCGCTGTTGTCTTTCTAACAGAGCAATCTGACCATCATTCTGAGTATTGTTCCATAAAGTTTTATGCCACGCTACTTCACTGCAGTTGATTAGCCATAGTCAAAAATAGCTGATAAGTTAATTGCTTTAATAACAATGTCAATGCAATTAACATTCAGATATTCAAATGAAGTCATGCCATGTTCATCCAAATGAATTAATGCTCAGAAATTCTAATGAAATTGCGCCTCTCTTGTCTGCTTCTTTATATTAAAGGAACCTATATATTCACTACTTCCAAAATGTACTCTATTTTTTTTTTTTTAATTGTCCACTAGGGGTCAGAACACAAAGCCACAAAATCTGCATTCTGGTTTTTTTGGTTTGTTTTTTTTTTGGTATAAGTAGGAAAGTTGAAGGATGAAGGACCTAAGTGTGAGGAGTTCATTTGGAAGGCAGCCTATTTATAGATTTAAAAAGAATACAGCTATTAACATCTCCATATTTTATGCTAAAGGTACCTCAAGCAGATACTCTTTCAGCAAGGGACCAACACTCAAAACGGCAACTTGGTCACAAACGTCTTTGATGGGTGTTCAACAGGAACTGCACAAGACCAGAGCTCAGCTCCCTACCGTGGAAGAGATGATGATCTGGGGCAGCTGCTGAAAATACAGCTTTAGCAGGAATTACCTTCACAGCCTCTATCAATTTTCCACAGTTGTAGAGTGAAGAAATATTGGGGCCTGCTCAGTCTTAAAAACAAAATCCTGCGTAGTAGGAATAACTAAAGCCTGAAAAATGTACTGTCCTCTCTCAGTTTATGCTGCTCTGCTTAAACTGCACTGAAAAGCACTGATAGGATCAACTTCAAACACAAAGATCATGGACAGCATTAAGTTGAGGGAGAAATGACATTTTTTGACAAAACTAAGCATTTAACTGTCTTAGGCTGCTTCCAACTCCATTACAACTAACTCTACATCAACATCTCTGGCCAGCTTATCAGTCAAATGCCAGCACTGGTGCTGGGTTGCTTGGGCTCCACGGTTATGAAGAAGATAGATGAGCCCATGGATATGACTAAGAAGAGACATTTATCATGTATACAGAGTAATTTTTTGCTCCTGGACAATATTTGCCTTTCATCTGTAAATCAGGATCAACAGCTGATCAGCAGCAGTGCTGTAGGTTATTTGAAAGCTGTTCTTCCAGCTACCACTCATTTTGGAGGTGTTCTAAGGTAATACTGACATTGAGTCAGTCCTGATGGATGGCTCGGCTAAGAGTTTTGCTGGGGGACAGTGTTCTACGAGAAAACTAACCAAACTAACCATAGTTACTGGGTTTTGCCGAACATAATGAGATATAATTTAAATAATTTGTTTCTTCCATTAAAGTGATATATTATCGGTMGAACATACTATGGATAGGAGCAAACTTAAGTTTTGAATCAATAACATGCCCTTATTTTATTGACTTTCATTAGATACAAACAATCACCTGAGATATTATCAAGTAAGAAATTGCTGAGGCTTAAACCYAAAGCAACTTCAATTATCCCTTTATTTCAAGCATCTGAAGTGCTTAGCTATTCTTTCAGATTCTATTAAGACATTATTGCTGCTTTATTGCCAGTAAAGCAGTATGCTTTCAAGTCATTATAATAAGATGCCAAAGGGACATCTGTATGTGGAACAAGCTGTTTGTTTTTCCCCCTCCTAGAGGCTTCTCAGTTATGCTGAGTTCAATGGAAATTCATACATCTGTATATAGAWATGTTGGTGGCAGGACCTATAGTGCACTCTACCGCACCTCACATTTCCTATGTATAAATATACATTYGGGAAATTTCCATACCAATGTCATTAGCAGTGGTCCTCTGTAAATAACTTTTAAAGTACAAATCACGTGAATAGTTATTATAGTATATATTTATATATATTTTTATATTATAGTTTCTTAGAAGCAAAGACAGCTGAAGGATTTTTTTTCTTATTTCTTAAAGGCAAAACACATCTCCATGCTTGCATATAAAATGGTTTAACACTTGCTACCACAAGTGCATGGCTTTTGAAAGAAAAGAGAGCAACCCTAACTCAAAGTTTCATCAAATTATGGGATAATGGCAAAAGACAAGATGATCTAATTTTGGTAGATACTTGTAAAATCTGGCAGATACACAATGGCTGGCCACAGTTTCTAGCAATTTTTTTTCAAGGCAACAAGTAATTGTAAAATGCTCGTACTTTCACATTTTAAAACTAACATAAATGACTCCTAAAAATCTTTTCCTGATATCATATTAGCATATATGAAAGTATTGACACTCCCCATGATTTTGCTACACATAAGAAACCTGAATAAACGTGAATACAAATGCCACAAAAGAGAAAAAAAATTAAAACAAAGATTTTTTCTGTTCTTTTTTCCTTGCATGCCTATGAACTACAGATTTTTAAAAAGAACTTCCAGGACATACTAGATAAAAGAAAAGCTTTAAAAAAAGTTCATACAAGGAAAAAAAGAAAAAGTACTTAAGAGTCAAACCACAGAAAGTTTACAATCCTCCTTTCACATGTATCTGGACAAGGTGAATGGAAAAATGTTTCTACTATATTTGTGTAAAAATCCTATTTATTCTTCTTTACTCATGACCATTAAATGGAAGCATTTCAGCAGACAGCAGGCTGTGATATGTCATGGAGAAATCTATCTTGATGGTTATAATGAAATAAGTCTTCCCTGCCCCCTGGTGAAACAAGCCATCAAATTGCCTCTAATAAAARTTATAAAACACTAAGACTACTGGGATTTCACATTAAAAATGATGAAAGAGTCTCCTAAAAATAATGCTTTGGAATAACTGCAATAACAAGAAAGAACTGATAAAAAATGAATATTTAAACATGAATCAGAGATCCAAACTTAAAAAGTAGGCACAAGAAGTAAATATATCATCATTCTGCTTGTTGAGGTTTAAAGTTTATTGTGATTACACACATTTACTGCAAAGATTAATAGCCTATATGGAAGTCACACAAGKTCAAAATTCTTGAATGAAACACATTTAAGACATTAACATTTTCTGTCTCCTCACACTTCCATTGCAGGAGAGGTGGAACACGTAAACGTGCAGTGGGACATCAGTGTAAGGGTTGTGGACAATCCAACATCTGCCAGAAAAGCTTATTTTCCTCTGTTYTTATTTGCAAAAATTAATTAGTCAACTGCCAAGCAATCCCACCTGACCACAAGCATTTGTTAATTCCCCRGAACTGCAAATAATACTATTAAAAACAAATCAAACCAAGGCTTTCTATAAAGTCATCTTCACTGTCAAAAAGAGAAATGGCCGCTAAGAACSGCTCTCACTCTGGTCATGACTGAGTCATGTGGCCCTTTTGTCTAATTATTTCAGTGAACAACTGCTACAAAGATAGCTTAACAATGCCTACTGTATAAAAATATGATCCTGTAACAAAACTATTTGTGATTACAGGCAACAAGCTTTGAAAATTGCAAATAACTGCCCACCTATATCCTTATCAGGGGCTCATGACAAACGTGCTGCATCATTATCACTGCAAGGTACAGCAGGGGAAAAATGAAACCTTAACAGGTTACACACAAAGAAGCGCTGCGTGTCAGTGTTTTTGCTACAATTACTTTTGCAAGCTTTGAAAAGCTTGATGGGCTGTGATAGGTCTGTCTACATTACTCTAAAATCATAGTTTTGACTTTAATTGTGACCTAAAGATATTTATATTTATGGCCAGAATTTTCAAARACAACTAAGAAATGACACTGGACTGGGGTGCTTCCCATCTAGCTCAAATGGAGGGAAAGAAGGTGACAAAACTCACATTCACGCTGCCGGGCTCCTCCTCACTTCCTGCAAAGCACAACAGTCTGGCGGCCAAGAGGGTCCAGGAAGAGCCCCARGCTCAGTGAGCGATGCACCTAGATCCTGTAAGGAGCAACAGGAGAGGCAGGATGGACACACATGGGGCCAAGGCCCAGCCAGGAGACAGGGCCAAACCTGGGATAGACTTCAACTACAACAAACACACAAGAGAGCTGTACAGGAGACCAACAGCATGGGCCCAAAGCGCATCCAAGAGTGCGATGCTGGGCCCCTGTGCCACCAAATGGGTAAGGGTGTGGGGAGGCCTCAGGTGAAGCTGGKTAAGCCCTAACAACCAGCAGCTTGAGCATCAGATCTGGCACACCTGGCTGGTCACTGTGCAGCCAATGCCAGCCCTCCCAGGCAGCTGCACCTCATCGTGCAGCCCATCATGCAACCCCCAGGATCCAGCTGTGATCCAAGGGCAGGAATGTGCAACAGGAAAAACACAGGCAGAGCCCCAAGCAGCCAGCACCAACACCAGGCTCCTCTGGGCCAGGGCCCTGCCATGCGGCTGCCTCAATGTCACCTCCCCAGGGCTTTGTGAGGATGACACCAAAACTCGGCTTGTGTATATGAGGTGTTCCCTTTCCCTCACAACAAGCTCTTAGGTTTAAGATAAGTATAGTCCCGAGACTGCTTCTTCTCAAGCCTTTCTCAGTAGGCACCATACTGACAGGTAGATAGTGAGGCCCTTCCTGCACCATGTGCCTAGGAGACTTGCCTAGACTTGCCTAGCTAAAGAATATAGATGTTTCTTCTTTGAGTTTTGCCTTGAAATTAGCCATTGTAATAGAAGTTTTATGGAAAATATTTTCCCCAATCCCTCTCTCTTTTTTTTTTTTTTTTTTTTGATTGATTAAAGATGAAACATCAACTTTAGAGAACAGGTCTTGTGAAAAAACATTTAGGAAAACGTTATAAATAGTATGATACAGCAAAACTGTCTTGACTAAAAAACTGATAATAATTATGCAACTCGTATTTCTCATCTAAAATCTGAGATGGGTTGTAATGTTCTTTACATTGTTTCATAGCCTCTTATGACTCAAAGTCCCTCATACTGTATTACAGCTATAAAAAATAGTGTATAGTATAAAATTGCTTTATAAGGTCAAATACTGATTTGTGCCCTGTCATATCATAAAAGCTGTTATTGTACATGGCAAATGGCATTTTTCATATATGAGAAGAGTAATATAGAAGTTGTATTTTAGTGCCACCCTCAAATAATATGGCATTGATGCTAATGTAGGTAATGGTTGGCCATGGAAACTATATGGGACCATTCCCAAAAGAAACAGTAACTTATCAGAGCATGTAAAAAGTACATGGAAAGAACCTAAGAGCATACTACTGTCATTGTCACATTGCAAACTGGCCACAATTGTGACTTAGGATAATTAACATAACTAGTAGGGTGAATATTTGCACTCCAAATTTTCATCCATGGTTGGTCTGTCAAAAGACTTTCCATTGAGGTCCAGAGATTAGCCTTGCATGCTATTCTTGCCCTGGACTTTCAGTTAAACCATTTTGAATCAAAACCACTCATCTTGAATCAAAAAGGGGCAATTGTTAAGTGGCTGCCAGAACAACAGAGACTGTGTGTGCACTAAAAAGACCAAGACTATCTGCCAGAAAAATATCAATGCTAAGATCAGGAAGGTCTCAAATAGCAAAAGTTTATGCAGAAGTAGCTCTGCTTTTGTTAACCAATAGCTCATTTTGTTCCTCAGCTGTCTGCAAATAATTCTATAGGTTGCCTTCATTAAGATGAGTTGTGATATACTATGAATAGGAATTTCTACACGTGCACAAATTTGACACCTCTCAGTTATACCATGAAATTGAGAATATGCCTTGAATAAGATTTTCCATAACATTTTTAGATTTCCCATTATCATGAAAAAAAGAAATGATTAAGAAAATTTTCCAATTCTTCATTATTATTGTAGACAGAGTGATAGAATCAAAAAAGACAATGTATAGGACAGTGTTGAAATAATATATATGAGTACAACAGATGTTAGAAAAGCCCCAATGCATAACAAAACAAAGAATAAAGATTTCAGATGGATTGGCTCATAAAAAAATACAATCTATTTTAAAGAAATAAGAACTAGCCAATTATTTCAATCACTAAACAACACCTCTAGCATGGATAAAAATGATAACAGATGATTTCATTCAGTCTTCACTTTGGTGGGAGCAATCATTGCAGTAAATTGATGTAAAAGTGATCCACCACCCAAATGAGCTGTAAACGCAACAGCAGATAGTAACTTTATACTAGCTAATAACATTTTAAATGATATAATTAAAGTAAAAATGCAAGGAAAATCATCTCACGGTGATACGCACACATTCCATCACAAATGATTTTACGAGACAAATAAAACTATGGAATTGTCAACCAGTTTGAATTGGTTCAGAAAAAAATATTATAATATCTAATAAACTGCTCAAACATATTTTACTTATAAAAAACCACTATCCCAGACAGAAATATTAAAAACAACATACTAWTTAATTCCTATGTGAAATTCTAGGAACTMACCTCCATTAGTCATGTATTTGGTCCTACTTACATTATGCACCTGTTCAAACTTAGGCACTTGCTGAAGCTAAGGCATTTTTCAAGAGTTTGTGGGAATCCTTTAATATTCAAAAATAACAAAAAAAAGGCCCAACCAGCCTCTATGAATTAATAAACTTTATCAGATCATCTAATCTATCTTCCTTTGTTTCTATATAATTCTCAAATGGCTTTTTAAACCAAGAGGTAAAAATGATCACCAACAGAAATGAAACGTAGCCTTGGCAGACGGTACTAATAAGCTTGAGAAGTGCTGGTCTCTGAGGAGTTCCACGTCTCACTTCATATTGTGGGATATTTCTCCAACAAAGGGATTTTGCAGAAAGAACCAAGCATCTGGAGGGATACAAGATTTCAATGTTCATACTTGGAGGCATATCTCACAAAGCCTGCAGTGATGATTCCTGGCAAGTTTAAAAGATCAAAGTGTTACAGTTAAGTAACTTAAAAATTTCTGTTTCACTCAATAGGATAACAGCTGTTCAGTCCGTTCTTCACATCTCAAAAGCCAAACATAGCATGCTGTAATTCCCAAAGACACAATCTTTGGGACAGAACAGCATCAATTTAGTAATCTTATCTGTCTCATTYCTGCTCTTCATTTCTTCTCTTTAATACACATTTTAAAGTGTATTTTAAGAAGTTTTAAAAGTACTTTTTAAAGAAAGGAAGATTTATATGTGCTTTGTCCTCCTTCCTTCTTTTTCATGTGTGCAGGGCTACTGTTAGAAGCAGGACACTAGACTGACCTTTTGTCTGAGTAATAGTGACAGTTCTTRTATGCTAGAATTTTTCTTTGTACAAATGAAGAAGATAACAGAAGTCTTAGATCAGGAATGGCCAGACCTTCAGCTCTGGTTGCCAATACAACCAAGTCAGCTACGTGAATTTCGAGCAGTAATTTCCTGCTCAAACAAGCTGCAGACTGAAGAACTCCTAAGGGCATCACAAATCACAGGATCAGTGGCTGAAAGGGGCCCCGGAGATCATCTAGTCCAACCTACAGTTCAAAGACAGACTGAAGTAACAAGATAGCTCTAAGTACACTTCTTCCACACAACTACAGTATCAGTTGCATTCAACTCACTATTTCATAGATATAATATCATGCAAGGTCAAATTAAAAAAAAAAAAATCAAAACAGAAAAAAAGTGCAGGTCAGTATTCCTGTGTTGCAGATCTCATTATGAGGTTATGTATATGAGTTTTAAATAAATGAATGTGAGAACACTGAACAAACTGAAACTCAAATAAAGAATTACCAAAATGTGTAAGATTTGCAGGAAGAGAAAAAAAWTATAACATCATTAACCTGTTGATTTATTTCATAGTTTTCATTCCAAGCCTTTGTAATTTAGACAACACTCTCAAATAGAAAAGCAGATCTATTGTAAAATTTCCAGTCCTGTTTTACTATCTTCAATTCTCAATGTAAGTTTAGAAGAATCCACTGTATAAGCATTTATGTACTCCATTTGCAAAACGCTGTCAATACTGCCTATTTTCATATATTCACTAGATTTTCAGAATTGCTGGTTTACTGTTAGTATTAAGTATAGTAGAGTAACAAATCCTGAGGAAAGCAAAGCTTCTCAGGCTAGTAAGCAATACATCTGAATTGGATTGTTTTTTGTTGTATTATTTTGTTTTCTGATTTAGTACATACAATTCCATCAGAATTTATTACCACGAAATTCTCACCTATTGAAGACTTATAGATAAGATACATAAGTTTTCTTATAGCATATGATCAAGACTGTATTTGAAACATATTTGAGCATCTGCAGAGGTGAAAGATTAACTATGTTGTACTTATCAAACATCTTAGTGTGATGGGCTGGCATGCTTTGAGTAGGCTCCATATTATGCGCTTCCCCATTTTCAGCTTTTAAGGAAAAATATTAGCTGTAGATCTGTTAATCTAAGAAGAACACCAGGGCTAATTATATGAAAAATGTTAAATTGCTGGGGAAAAAAAGTTACTGAAGTCAGCAGTTGTTCTTTTTCACACTCCCGGCGTATCGCAGGTTGGCTTCTCTTGAGGAGCAATTAACTTTGTCAGGGCAGCTGAATTCAAACACACAAAGATGTCGTTTCTTCCATATTAAGAAACGTAATTAATAAAGGAATTATAGCAAGTTGTCACAGACTACCCAATTATTGCAATAACAATCCGTTTCTCCCAAAGCTCTGGGGAAGGTTTTCACAACATTTAGGTGGCAGAAGAAAATGCTCTGCAGTTTCTTAAAGTAAAAAGAAAGCCAAGTGGCGTTTCTRTTACTGATTGGCTTTATGAGAGTGTAGAGCACAGATACAACAGGAATACAAGATTTATTTATACTGTGCAAAAACTAGTGTCAGATCAAAACCAGATAGAGCTAAGCTTTATATATTATTCCACCTTCAAAGCCACATTAATAGTAATGACCGGGACGATGACAAAACGTCTGTCATAATG